GCCAGCAGCCAGCAGCCAGCAGCCAGCAGCCAGCAGCCAGCAGCCAGACATTCTCATCACATACATCCCTGAGCTCTCAGTCCTGTGGGATACCTCCATGACCCTCACCATCTGACCAAAGCCCTGTAGGCTGACTGCAGCTTATCCAACCTCACTTCTCACTGTCACTTGTCACACACAGCACCTGGATTCTTCCCATCACCTCTCTAGGACATGCTATTCCCTCATCTCCAGCTGACCTCTGTCTCAAGCTTTGGGGCACTTTTGCTTTCTCAGCCCGTGTCAACCTTCCCCTCTAGTCCTCGAGTGCCACGCACACCTTCCTTTTGGACACAGGTGTTCTGGCCATGGTTTGGGCCAGCATCTCTTGTTCCACACAGGCCTGGATTCATATTCTGGCTCTACCACTTAAGAGTTATGTATTCCTGAGGGCTGGAGAGATGGCTCAGAGATTAAGGGCACTAACTGCTCTTTCAGAGGTCCTGAGTTCAATTCCCAGCAACCAGATGGTGGCTCACAACCATCTCTAAGGGTATCTTCAGGGTTGTCTGAAGACAGCAACAGTGTAGTCACATATAAAATAAACAAATCTTTAAAAAAGAGTTATGCATTTCTAAGTTATGGAATTATTATTAGCCTCAGTTCCCTCCTCCCTCTCTGAGTGTGTGTGTGTGTGTGTGTGTGTGTGCAAGAGTGTGCAGATACTGATCAGAGGTCAACATTATATGTTATAGTCAGGAGGGATGCACTTTTGTTTTGTTTTAAATATTTTTATTAACACTTTGAGGATTTTGTACAATGTATTCTCACCATACTCACCCCCAACTATTTAACTCCTTTCAGATTTTTCCACCTCTTTACCAACCCCAACTTCATATCCTCTATCATCATCATCATCATCGTCGTCATCATCATCACCATTATTTAATAACATATTGGATTCGATTTGTGCTGTCCACACAGGGTTTCTCACTGACCTGGAACTTGCCAGGTAGGCTAGCCAGATATATTAGCAATCCCCAGGGATCTGCTTGTCTCTGCCTCCCCTCCCCGGCACGAGCATGCATACCGAACCCAGCTTTTTAAATGTGGAGTCTAGGGACTGATCTCAGGTCGCACTGTGGGTCATGCACTTTAAGGACTGAACTATCTCCCGAGCCCCTGCCTCGGTTTCTTTAATCTCTAAAATGGAGCTAAAAGGCCAAACATTCAGGTCTCACATGGACACAAAGTGCTGATTAAAATAAGTGGGTGATTGCAGTGTGTAATAACTCAGTGGATGGGTAGGGCTACTAAGAGTCAGTTTGTCTTCCTGGCTGAGGCATAAGTACCATGGTACGTACAGCCACCACCCAGCTGGACAGTATTGGTGTGCAGGTGTGTGTGTTAATTGTTTAGTAGTAGATGGAAGATGGACTTGTCTTACCTGACACTTGATATTCACTTGAAGATTTGTCATCAGCCGCTGGATTTTCTCTACGAAAATAAGGTCCGAAGATAGGTTATGGAATTTACTCTCGAATTTGTTGATGACATCATTGGCCTGTAAGGAAAGGTAAGGAGTAAACTGGAGGGACCTTGACCTGGAATGTTAGACCTTGGAAGAATGGCGGAGCTTAATTATTACTGTGACCCAGATGTGCCCTTTCTTCAGAAGTGACAGCCTCTGGCCGGCCATCTTGGAGGCTGTTTGGAGGGAAGACGGGGAGCCCCCACCTGGTCCAGGTACTCCGTCTCCATCTTTTCCATGTGGATCATGATTAAACTTTCAACGAACTCAATCCGGGTAGCCTCCTTCTCCAGTCGGTGGCACAGCGTCTCAATTTCTTCAGGGGAAAAGTTGCCACCCTCTGAAAACAATCTGGAGAAAGGTTGAGAAGCAAAGACCACCAGTCAAACTGAACATCCCCATACATCCCAAGGCCCGTGACCTAACATCCCAGTGTGGATGATGGAAAGATAAATGCATGGGCAGTGAGACTGCTGGTTTGCTAGGGTATCAGGTTGGGTGCCCTGATAGACCAGCTGAAACAAATGAAATGCTACACCGAGAGGCTCAACATGCAGTTCAGTGGTAGTGTGCCTGTCTAACATGCAGGAGGCTCTGGGTTCAATTCCCAACACCACTGAATGAATGAATTGGTGAATGAATGAATGAATGAATGAATGAATGAAAAAATTTACATAAGGATGAGATGTCTGTCCTCCTCAGATGAAGTGAAACTAGAGGATTCCTTGGGATGTGGGTGGTGCCAAAGCTGACTTTGACCGGGAGACTTTGACTCTGAGCCTCTGTGACTGTACATCAGGGAGGGCCAGCATGGAGCTGGAGCCTGACTGTGGCACTTTCAGTATGACTGAGTGACACATGAACTCTACCAGGTTCCAAGATACTGAGATTCCAGGGCAAGGAGGAAAGAAAGCTCTTTCTTTCCTGAGAATTTGTTTGCCAACTGAATATGTATTCTCTGGAATGGCACAACGAAACAAAATTTTTAACTGGTCCTGAGTAGGTGTTGCCCTGAGTGGTCCAGTAAAAACAAATGTGGATTCTTTGAAGGAATGCCACATGAGTTTAGGCCTCAAAGAGGATGCTGCTGATAAACTCCAAGGTGGGGGTGGGGAAAGGACTTCTAGGGGAAAAAAAATCACAAAGAAGTAAGACACCATAAATAAAAACCAAGAGATAACAGGGAACAGAAGGAAGAACATGTAACAATTATCTGACATAAGTTACAAAATAACCAAATGTGAGACATTTGAAGAAGTAAGACGCCTCTGCCTCCTGGTGAGAGGAGCAATGGGACCAGCCACTGCACACTCTTGACACCACAGCGTATCTACAAATCATTAAAAAATAAGTAAAGAGAGAAACATGGCCGCCCACCAAGAGTAGACAGTGGTGGCTCACAGAGGCATAAAATATACATTGGTTCCCACCTGCAGTGCTTGACAAAGTCAATGTTGGTATAGCGGAGCTTGCCAAGACTCTCTTCCAGGTACTGCCGAAAGCTTCGCAGGGACACCTGGATGACATCCACGTAGCTGAGCAGCTCCCGGTGTAGTGTATTGGTGAGACTAACCAGCCTGTGGGCACAGGGAAGCAAGGAAGGGCTAGGTGTGACCTATTATCCTGGCATTCAAGGAGCTGAGCTAGAAAGATCACAAGTTCAAGGCCAGCCTATATGACAGTGAGCTCAAGGCCTTACCTGGACAATTTAGTGAGACCCTTCCTCAAAATAAAAAGTCAAAAGGCATTGCCAGCAAATTAGTAAAGGAGTCCCAGATTCCACTGAGTCCTCATCCTCCCACTGCAGAGCATCTGACCCCCCCAGCAGTGTGGCACTTACCCTGTGCTCTCCTGAAATAATGCCCTGAAAGTTACTTCTCTATAACAAAAGCCTCCTGAGTCCGCTGCCCCTGTGATTGGCTGCTGCAGACCAGCTATGGTCCTTCTAACACTCAAACGAGGTCCCTGTCTTGTGTCTCCTTGCTGGAGGCCCTTGCCCTATCTGCCCTGCAGATGACCCAAGTTTTGACAGGAAACTGTGGGTTCATCAGCAATGCCCTCCTCCAGGAAGCCCTTCTAAATGCCCCAAAGGGAAGCTGTCTTTCTCATCGTGGACATTTTGGGGCACAGCATCTGTATCCTTGCATATGGACTATGTATACCTCTTCCTTCCCAGCCTATTTACCGCCACCCTGCCTCATGCACATCAAATGTTGCCCATGGACTCTGGTTCTTTGCCTTTGGTAAAAAACGAAGCCTTCTGCCCCTCTGCCAGAAGGAGCTGGGCGTTGAGAACCAGGACTGGGAAGAAGATGCTCTAACCCCTTACTTTTGGCTTTTGGTGGCATTCAAGAAAATGTGCTCCATGTCATAGATCTTGCGGCGAAAGTTCTTGCTCCGTAAGGCTTGCTCTTCTTGGAACTGACAGAACATCAGCCTCTCCTTCTTCAGTGTCTCGATCACACCGGCACAGTGGCTGTCCAGCCTCTCTTGGTGAAGCAGGAGCTCAGCTGCGAGAAGGCAGGCAGAGCTGCTGCTGTCTGCAGCCATCCATCTGCCCACTGCCTTTCCTAGGCCAGCCCAGGGCAGAAACCACTCATGTCAATGAAGGTCTCCCGCTATGCCCCAAATGCTCTCTCCAGGGTGGGACTGAGCTGGGTTGAGACCCCAGGAAGGCCAGTGAGCATCTCTTTCAATGTCCCATGCTAGAGAGAGGCTGTGAGCCTGGACTTCCTGCTTGGTGGAGCCTTCCAGCTGCCAAGAGGGCAAACTAGGAATAAGAGAATCTCAGGGAGCAAAAGGGTGAGTAGAGCCAAATTCTAAATGGCTCCAAGGTGAGGAGGAATGAAAAAGGAACAGGTTTCCAAAGCCCCTTCACAGACCTTCGTGGCAGGCAGACAGCCACACACCTTCCAACTGAGTGTGCTACTGCTTGGAGTAACCGGTAGAAGGGCTGTGGGTATGGTTTTAATAAAAAACAAATGGTATCAGCAAACTATGCAGACACCCACACACCCATGCTTAGCTCATCACTGTTCCAATAGCTAAGATGGCCTAGGCGGCCACCATCAACACACAGTGGCTAGCTGAACGGCGGTACATAGTACTAATGGAATATTATTCAACCATGAAGAGAATGAAATTGTGTGTGTGTGTGTGTGTGTGTGTGTGTGTGTGTTTAAAGGAAACGGCACAACTGGAGATTATGTTAAGCAAAACAAGCCAGTCTCTGGAAGTTAAATAGTACATGTTTTCTCTCATGTGGAATCTAGCTATTATATGAATGGATATCTGTCTGTCTATTTATCTGTCTGTCTGTCTGTCTATCTATCATCTATGAATGACATGAAACAAGAAAGGAGGAAGGAAGTGGACTGACAGGAGCAGGTATGGGGGACAAGAGACAGTAATGGGGGACTATTATGAGCAAAATATAGTGATATGCATATGTGCACAAGTGAGAAAAGTGCCGTCATGAAACTCGTTATTCTGTACAATAATTAATTTTTGAAATTAAAAAAACAGAGTGTAGAACTGGGGCTTCATTGCTATGGTCTGTGTTTCCAAGCTGAGCATTGGCCTGGGAAGCCAAACAGGCAAAAGGAGCCAGCCTTTGGTGAGGTCTTTTTCATCCCTTGGTACATTTAGTTCACACATTTCCCAGTACTAAAGACTGGTCTGGGAACCTGCCATCACCACCGCACGGGGCCTTGGGAGTTTGGATGGGGTCATGCAGAAGGCTTCATGAGAGCATTAAATGGCTATGAGTTCCAGTGAAATATCAGTGGCGGCTGCCTAGGAATCTTACTAAAAGTATACACCTCTCCCCATTAGTGGAGCTTCCCACCTAAAAGAGAGAAGGCTTGCCATTCTGAGTAAGACCCGTGTGTGAAGAATGGCTTCCCCTCTGGGGCACCGTGCCTCAGACCACCTGCTCACTATTCCTCCCCACACCAACACCTTCTCCTGTAGAGGAGAGTTCTGGTTTCTAAGCTATAGATTTGCTGCTAGATCATCCATCATGCAGATGTGTATCTGACAGATGTGTGAGAAGATCAGTACTCCAAGATTTACAATGGGCCAATACCCTTCCTTTTGCCCCTGACCCTCTACAGAGGAAGGGGAGGGAGGAAGAGAGGAAGAGAGGGAAGACTCATGTAGAGTGTGTGGGCCGTGCTACCAGACAGACATAAAGAACTGGTGAGGTGGAGAATCTCAGAGATTTGAGATGGTAGGAGTGGAGCTACCCTCTCCCTGCCTCTAGTTCCTTCTCTGGAACACATAACCACAACCCACAACTGAGAGGACCACAGGCAGTCAGTCAGTCAGGTAACGCAGCACCTAGAACATCTCCCCATGCTAATGAGGTATCTTAATAGCCTTAGCCTTCCGCCAATGACCTGCTTCCTGGATATTCTCACACTCTTCCCCTGGATTATATATATAATCCCTGGTTCACCAGAATAAAGCATATGTGTTCACAGCCATACCCTATAAAGAAGTACGAACAAGCTAAGAATAAGTAAGCTCAAGAGCTGCTTCATTAAGGACCAGCACCGGAAGACCTTTGCCTAACCGAGTGGTAATACTAAGACTCCCGAAGAAGGCCTTTTCTCTTCTCCCACCGCTCTGGCACTTGCTTCCAGTTGGACGAGCTCCTGCTCACCTCTAGGTCTGTTGCGCATCTGTGCTCTCCTACCCCAAAGAGAGATGTGACCCCAACCCCTTCCTGACTTCCTCTCCAGGTACACTGGCACCAGCGCCCGCCCGGGTACCCCGAGAGGAGACCAGGAACCACATTCATCCTAGATCCCGCTTTCCCCTTCCGGTCTGGTGAGCAGCCACACTCTAACGTGGTGAAGGGTAATGCGGGCTGCAGATTAGCGGCCCCAGACTTTGACCTGCTGGTGTGTTGGTTGCGGGGAAGAGAGGCAGAACCCGGGACTCACAATGAACCCGGGTACCACAGACTCACTCATGAGAGTGAGGCAAAGAAATTCCCACAAGTCTGAAGCTAACTTGGGCTACATTACGAAGTTCCAGCCAACCTAGGCAACCAAGTGGAGATTTTGTCTCAAGAAGGAAGGGAGGAAAGAAGAGAGGCAGGGAAGAAGGAAGATTTTAAAATCTCATACACTGATTCCCAACACACCTTCGGAGTGTGATGATAATCTACTCAGCACTGCATGGGGTAAACTGGGGCAGTTAAAAAAAAAAAAAAAGATGAGCCCATTAGCCAGCAGACGCTGCAGGGGATCTCTGAGGACAAGGTGGACCTTCCCAGGATGGCCCGAACCTGCTCTGACGTTGTGAATATCCTTCTCCACTTGCTCAAGTCTTGGCTTGTGCAGGTGCAGCCGCAGCTCCAGCTCTGAATCCAGTTCATCAACCTTGGAAGCCACAACGATACGAGCATTGAGGGCACACTGGTCAAACCACTTCTCAAGATGTTCAAAGAAGCCAGCTCGAAGCCTGGGGAGAGATGAGCAAGGGTCAGTCATCTCTGCCAGCAGTCAGGACCAGTAAGAGATCTTTCACACTGAGACCAGACACGCTTTCTGCAGTCATGCTTTGTATTGCCCCCACTGTACAGTGTATCGCACGGAATGGATGGATACCATCCATCCACTCAGACCGTGGCTCGGTAGTTTCCAATCTTTTATTCTCACAGAGAAGGCTGCTATAAATAACCCTGTCCTTATGTCAAGTATGGAGGAGCTCAAAGGTTAAAAGACATGGGGTTCTACATTTTTTCACATCTCCTCAGGAATAGTGCCTCAGAACACTGGGATGCAAAGGGCTGAATAGTCTTTTTTTTTTCCTTTTCCTTTTAAAGACCACATAATTCCTTCATCGTCTATAGTTTCTTTCCCCTTTTCTGTCTTGGTTGATACAAAATGCCACACACACGATGTAGCATACCTTTGGCTTGTATCCACAGACTTTTTAAATAAAAGAAGTGTTGGGGGCTGGAGAGATGGCTCAGTAGTTCAGTGTACTTGTTGCTCTTGTAGAAGACCTTGGTACACAACCCTGTGTGACTCTAGTTCTTGGAGTTCTCTTCCCCTCTTCTGGCACCATACACACATGATACAATACGGACTTACAGGCAAACACTCATACACATAAAAGTAAACAAATCTTTCAGAAATAAACTTTAACATTGTGGATGAGCTGGGAATTACAAGCCAGAGTAGGTGGCAGGGGAAGCATTTCTATGACAAAGCCCAGACCTACAGAGCACCCTGGGAAGCATGCTGGGGTCACAGTCACCAAGGCTAGCTATGTCTGTGGAGCATTCTGGGACATTTTATGTTGGTGTTTCTCACCCCTACCCTCCCTCATTTACCTGAGCGTTTAGTCTTTCCAGCTAAAGCGAATCTTTAGTTCTAGCACCTCACATAGAAAGTTCAGGGTAAGAGAATGTGAGCACAGCGGTTTGTCCACTCACCCTTTCTTAATCTGTAGGATTAGTTTCTGAGGAATAACCACTTGCTCTATGTACTTGGTGCTGAAAGAGTCATAGAAGAGCACAGTGTGGTGGGAATGGGGTCTACTGTGTATCTGTTGTTCATCTTCCACAGACAGGAAGGCAAAGTAAGTGTTCCCACTTGCAGTTGTGAAGAACTCCATTTCTTCGTAGGGTATCTCTTCCATAGACTCTTCCTTGCCTTCATCCTGTACGGAGAATGAGACTTGAAAATCAATGTCAGCTGATGTAGGTGATACCAGATGAAAGGTTTTGTACCAGGTTGCCAATAAGAACTTTCCCTAACCTCCTTACCTACACAAAGAATGCTTTTTATTTATGCTTATTTGTTTGCAGAGATGATTCCAAGGCTTTTTGCATGTAAGCCCTGGATTCTTGAGCTACAACTTCAGTGATTTATTTATTTATTTATTTATTTATTTTTTGGTTTTTCGAGACAGGGTTTCTCTGTGTTGCCCTGGCTGTCCTGCAACTCACTCTGTAGACCTCGAACTCTCGAACTCAGAAATCCACCTGCCTCTGCCTCCCAAGTGCTGGGATTAAAGGCGTGTGTCACCACTGCCTGGCTAACTTCAGTGATTTTAAAGTGAGAAGTTTCATATATAAATCTCGGTTCTCTATTTCCTTTGAAGCAGCACCAAACATGCTATTTATCATTGGCTGAGACTGAATAGTGACAGCACATTTTTTACCACTTGTCATTTTGACCTACAGCCTCCAACCCTCTTTTCTCAACACATGCGTCAACATTTGAGTTTGGAATTCATGCAAAAAAGGAGGAGGAGGAGGATTTGGATGCAGTTTGAAGACAGGGTTTATTAAAATGAGCTAATCGCCAATCTTCAAATGAGTGTCCTAGTTGCCTTTCCTAATGCTATGGTAAAACATCCTGACAAAAAACAATTGAGAAAGGGTTCATTTTAGCTCGCAATCCCGGCTTACAGTCTATCATAGGAGGAAGTCAAGTAGTGGGAGCTTGAAACAGTCATGTCATCCACAGTGGACAACAGACAGAAATGAACACTTATATGCTCATTTGCTTACGTGTGCTTGGCATGATCTCTCTGCTTTTATACAGTTTAAGATACCCTGCCTAGGGAATGGTGCTGCCCACTGTGTGCTGAGTCTTCCTGCATCAATTAACTCAAGACAACTTCCCCATAGACATGCCCACAGGCAAACCTGAGACCACAGTCTCTCCCCGAGACTCTTTCCAGATGATTCTAGGTTGTAACAAGTTGACAATTTAAAACTGCCCACCAGGGAGAGCTTTGTCTGAATGTTTTGTTACCAGTGAACAGGAAGAGAGAGGGTTGATGTAGAAGGGACCTGAGGCAATCTGTGCAATCAATAGGAGGTAAGAAAGAGACCCTGGGTGAGTGGGGAGGGGGGGATAAAGTAAGTCTTGGGAAGGATGGCTCCAGAGTAGAGTACAAGGCATGAGGAAAGGATGGTAAATTTTAAAATCTTTGCTGTAAGGGAAGAATCGAAGCTTTGTTGACAAAATAGGAAGGAATAAATACTCTTGTGGGACTTTTTCTGGACTCCTATAGAGACTGAACCAGTGGGAACCCTAGCTTATCTGCAGAGTATATGTAAGACAAACAGAGTAAGCTTTGTTTCTTTTCTTCATACCCAACAATGAGCTTACCTGACTCATAAAAAAGTTCTCTTGATAGTACTCCAGATCGTCTTCATTTATGTCTTCATCTTCGTCCTCCTCATCCTCTCTTATTTCCTCCTCCTCTTCTTCCTCCTCTACTCTCTCCTCTTTTATTTCTTCCTCTTCTCTCTCCTCTTTTATTTCCTCCTCTTCTCTCTCCTCTTTTACTTCCTCCTCTTCTTCCTCTTCCTCTATCTCTTCCCTCTCTTCTTGAGCTATTAGATTTTCCAGGTCCTGAGATGCCTCTGAGGGGGTCTCTCTCATGCCCCGAATTTCTTCAGTTCCTTGGGAAGTCTCTTCTTTGGGCCCATCCATCCTGTCACTCTGTAGGGACATGTTCTGCTGGCTCAGTGCTTCTCCAGCCATGCCGAGCTCTGATCCTTCACTTCCCTCTTCCTTCATGCTTTCTGCTGGCTTCTCGGAACCAGTGACTTGCCCGATGCTTTCTTCACCTTTGTGTATCCCCACTCTTGCCCTTTGTTTTTTCTTCAGTTTCCTGATTTTCTGCATGAAGAGTGTCTCGTGGGTTTCTGTTGGTGACCAATATTAAAGTGTAAGGATGCAGTGACCAGTGTTGCCCGGATTGGGGCCCCGCCCACAGGTGTACAGGGATGATGGCAGGAAGGCCTGGACTCGGGTCATAAGTGTTACCTGGTTGCCTGAATTTAAAAATCACTTCCCCAGCCAAGTTCTACAAGGGAAAAAAAAATTACAAGTCACCACAGGACCAGCAATGCCTTTCTCTAGAGTACTACTTCTAAAGCTTTGAGTCTCTTTAGGTTAAAAGGCTCTGACGCAGGCCATGACCCACTTCATTCACTGGGGCAATCAGTGTGTCCCAAGTCCAGCACGCTACCACACCTGCTTGGTAAGCATTGCATGATGGAATCAGGGCTCCTGACACAGGCTCAGAAGTGAACGAGAGAGACGGGTGAGCAGAAGAGTGAGAACCCACTGCACCAGTGTCTGGGGAGGATGGATACAATGAGCCTGACTGACATGACCCTGAGCGATTAGAGCCTGTGAAGAACATCTGAGGAAAGAGTGAATGGGGCTGGGCTTAATTTTAGCAGAATCACATGGTGGTAATAGACATTATGAATGAAGCTCAAAGCAATATAGAAATTAGACCTTTCATTTTAAGGAACCTATTGATCATGGATGTGTTTGGGGGATATTTATGTGTGTGGGGGTGCACATATGTGTAGTTCAGAAAACGACTTTGGGTATCAGGCCTTACTGTCCACCTTGAGGCAAGCTCTCATTATTGTTCACTGGAATGAATACACACACACACACACACCAGGCTAGCTGCCTTCTGACCTTCTGGGGATCCTCCTGTCTCCATCTCCCCATAGAAACATGAGGATTTCAGGTGTCAATTACTGTGATGGTTTGTATATGCTCGGCCCAGGGAGTGGCAATATTAGAGGGTGTGGCCCTGATGGAATAGATGTGACCTGGCTGGAGTAGGTGTGTCACTGTGGGCGTGATCTTAAGACCTACATCCTAGCTGCCTGGAAGTCAGTATTTGCTAGCAGCCTTCAGATGAAGATGTAGAACTCTTAGCTCCTCCTGTACCATGCCTGCCTGGATGCTGCCATGCTTCTGCCTTGATGACACTGGACTGAACCTCTGAACTTGTAAGCCAGCCCCAATTAAATGTTGTCCTTTATAAGATTTGCTTTGGTCATAGTATCTGTTGACAGCAATAAAACCCTAACTAAGACAGTTACTGTGCCTGACTTTATGTGGGTTCTTAGGGTTTGAACTCAGGTCTTCACACTTGCAAAGCAAGCATGTTATCTGCTGAGCCGTCTACCTAGTCCCTAATCTTCTTTTTTAACTATGAAGTGAAGGTCTTTGCTCAGTCTCTTCATCCTTGACATCCTGACACAGATTCCTACTTTGTAGAATTAAGGATGGCTTCCAGATGGCCAGCCAATCAGATAGGAAGCCATCTCCCCCTCCTACATGGCAAGTGGCCAGAGGTACAGAGGTACACCATCTGTCCTTCATACCTGCTCAAAGATTTCACGAATGAAGAAGTGTCGGCTGAGGGTGAAGCTGTAGCAGTTGAGTTCTTTCAGCACTAGTGCCGGGTACTCCATCACTTCCTTGGTCAGCAGGATGTGAAAACATTCGTACCTGGGAGGGAGGGAGATGAGACTACTGTGTGAAGGGAACTCTGCTGAGTGTGGGGCCACCCTCCTGGAGCCATGCCCCTGCCTCCATCTGGCAACTAGCATTGTGGAGAGCTGCTGGGTGGTTAGTCTTTTTCACAGAAGCAGACTGTAGGCCACTGTTCTATTTTCCTGATCATGCTGAGGCATGCACGCTGTTTGTAGAGATTCTGTCAAGCACATGAGCTTTTTGTTTGGAAGGTGGGTTCTTAGGATTTGAACTCAGATCTTCACACTTGCAAAGCAAGCACATTATCTGCCGACCCGTCTCCCTAGTCCCTGATCTTCATAGTTTAAATGAAGTGAAGGCCTTTGCTCAGTCTCTTCACCCTTGACATCCTGACATGGGTTCATACTTTGCAGAGTTACTTTTCTAGCCTGTGATCCTACTTCTGTACTTGAACTTAATCTACATTGTTCCATCAAACCCTCAAACATTATCAGGCTCAGAAAGTTTATCTGTTTCTTGGGCAAAGTAAACAAGGCTCCAAAGTTTAATCGTCCAGACATAAACTCCCAGGATCTATGTGCAGCCATCAGATGGAAGGTGAGTCTAATTCAGTAAATGGTCTTTATAGGTCTTTGTGGACAGAGGCCCACAAATATAAAACAGTTCACAGAGAACTGTTTGTAATTGTGTATGGAGAAGCTTGAGTCAATGGGGAAAAGCTTGTTACAAGATGGCTAACCTATGATAAAGTATCGTGTGTGTGTGTGTGTGTGTGTGTGTGTGTGTGTGAAATTATAGTAAGAAAACCTACATGGTCACTTAAAAACTGAAATAGATCTTTAGTTACAAAATAATTTGCATTATATAACCCATCCTTTATTTTAAAACACTATACCGGTATGTACCTGTATACATAAGTGTGTACGCTCATACAATAAAACAGCTGGGCAAGTATGATGGGGACATGTCTGTTGACAGAAGTTGACTTTTCTCTCCCATCAACAGAGTTTACATGTTAACACTTTTTTTTCAAAAAGGGAAGCCCAAGTTCTTGGCCTTTAATTTCAATTGCCATGACATTTCCCACTACAAACTTGCCACAATTCTCCCTGGGAAAGTGTGGATGAGGAGCAAAGGATTGTTGATGTTCTCCAGTATGGGTGGCGTGGCTCTTTATCTGGGTTTGCTGATCACATCCCTGGTCATCTGTGCTAGCTGGAGGCCTTGAACAATGAATCCCAACCATCCTCGCCAGTCTTCTAATGTCTGGTCAGCTTACCTGGACTTCATGTTCTTCAGAAAAGTCCTGGCCTTTTCCATGTGTGTCTTCAGCGACTCTTCTTGGCTTTGCTGTCTCAGTTGGTCTAGCAGCTTATCGAGGGAAGTCTCTTGGTTCTGGTGGCCATTCCCAAAACAAGAGAAGCACAGATAAGTGTCCAGAGCTGACAGAATGGTAGTGACCTGCAGACCCCACTGCCTATAGAGCTGGGGTTAGGCAAAATGCCTGTGAGGGCCACCAAGTCTATGACTACGCTCACTCTCCCCAGCACACACTTTCGGGCTCTTCTCTGTTTCTGGAATGTTCTTTCTCCCCTATCTACCTCCCCAAGGACCCAGCTCAGATGAGCCACTTCAAGGACATTTCCCGTGTTCCATGGCTTTGTTCCCATAGCCAGGCCTGAACTACACTTTTCTGAGGCATCTGCACTTCAGTCACACTCCAAGTCACACCTGAAATGCCCATGTATGAAGGTAGGCAGGGCTGGGGCTGGCTGCACAGGCAGGTGAATGGCTGACATGTGTTCCAATGTCCCTATTACATAGCTTTGAATGATCCTGGACACACAGCTTGCTACGTGAATGATACTTATGATGCTGTACTGTGAACTTGAGGTGTATTCCTCATCCTTAGAGAAGGCGACTCATATCTTACAAGATTCCTTAGGTGACAACTTGGAACCAGTCCCAAGAAGTGCTACCTAAACCTATACCACTTTACCAGACCACATTCCAGAATGGGACTTCAAAAGGCACATGGACTCAAGAGTTAGATACTTTGAGAGCTCAGGATTCAGCAGGTGTCCATCGCTGTCAGCTAGTTCCCTGTAGACTGTCACAAGCTTGGGAGATAATGTTGGCACTTCCTCATGACGAAGCAACCTTACTTGTTATGTTGGGAACGGAGGTCTGGCCAGTTTCTCCTGAGAAACCTCTCATAAAAAAAGGTTCACCATGTCTTTAATTAGACTTTAGTTTCTACAGGGGTCTGTGCCCCCTCCCCGCCACTTGAACAACTGCATATGAATAATTCTGGCGTTCACTATGGGGGCAGTGCAGTTCCTGGATCTTCTTTCAACACTAGGGGGCAGGGACAGGAAGAATGCATTTTCTTTGCCCATCAGTAAGCCATGGCTCATAAAATTATACTCAAGCATCTTGTTTATTTTCTTATTTTCTTTTTTCTTTTTTTTAATAAAAAAATTGTCTTTACTTAGAAGCATTCAGAATGTCAACAAAACAGCCACAATTTTTTTTTTGCAATTACAGAGTAGTATTCAGTTAACAGAACAACAGTTATCTTCGTATAAGCTGCATCAGAGACAACTGAAGATGGAAAAAAAACCCAAAAATAAAACCAAAAGAAAAGAAAAAGCAAAAACCAAACTACTGTCCTCATATATAACTAATTTGTGCTGTGCATCAACAAGAACCTGCTTTAAATTTCCATGCCAATTTACAACCCCCAGACTGTACCAGGCAAGGTTAGTGGCTATTGAAAATACCACCAGGACAGGGCTATCTAAAGACACATTTGGTAGTGTGTTAACTATACAAAAAAAGACACTGTACTGTTTAAAAAAACAAATCTTACACAGCCTTACATTTCAATTTTTTTCTTTAAAAGGAGTGAGTTGTGTACAGGGGGGTTAAATGCTTTATAGACAAGAAAAAAACTGTGCTAGAACCAACTTTTTCATCATCATCATCTTCTTCATCTTTGTCTTCCTCTTCTTCCTCCTCTTCCTCATCTTCTTCATCTTCCTCATCATCTTCCTCTTCCTTCTTTTTCTTGCTCTTTTCAGCCTTGACTAACCCCTTTTTCACTGCATCAGGTTTTCCTTTAGCTCTGTAGGCAGCAATGTCCTTCTCATACTTCTCCTTCAGCTTGGCAGCCTTCTTCTCGTAGGGCTGCTTGTCATCCGCTGCAGTGTTGTTCCACATCTCTCCTAGCTTCTTTGCAACATCACCAATGGATAAGCCAGGATGCTCGCCTTTGATTTTTGGGCGGTACTCAGAACAGAACAAGAAGAAGGCTGAAGGAGGCCTCTTGGGTGCATTGGGGTCCTTGAACTTCTTTTTGGTCTCCCCTTTGGGAGGGATGTAGGTTTTCATTTCTCTTTCATAACAAGCCTTGTCAGCCTTTGCCATATCTTCAAATTTCCCCTTTTCTTTAGCAGACATAGTCTTCCACCTCTCTGAGGACTTCTTGGAGAACTCTGAGAAGTTGACAGAAGCATCTGGGTGCTTCTTCTTGTGCTCCTCCTGGCAGGTTTGCACAAAGAATGCATATGAGGACATTTTGCCTCTCGGCTTCTTAGGATCTCCTTTGTCCATGTTTAGTTGATTTTTCTCTGCGAGGCACAGAGTCGCCCAGTGCCCGTCCGGTTCTTGCTTGCCCCGGCACTCTCTATGGAGCTCAATATACTGCAATGGCTGTGAGAGCGGGAGCCAGACCTCTTATTTTCTTTATTTATATAATTCTTTTGTTTTTCTCTCTCAGTATGTGTGTGTGTGCGCATGCGTGTGTGTGTGTGTGTGTGTCTGTGTGTGTGTGTGTGTGTGTATGTGTACAGGCACGTGAGTGTGAAGATCAGAGGACAATTCTTGGGAGCCTTCCCTGGCACTTTATGGGACCCAGTGATTGAACTCATGTTGTTTGGCTTGCCTGCAAGGGTCCTGACTTGCTAAACTGGGCCCTGCCAGCCCCAGATCATGTTATTTTAACCAGGCAGACTACCTTCCATTCAGTTAGTCAGTCAGTCAGATTGTCTGTCTGTCCTGCCTCTTTTTCTTGTGCACATACTTAGAGACAAGCTTGATTCCCAAGATCTATCTCAGGACTCTGGCATGGTTCAGGCTTCTTCCTGTTACTCCCATCTCCCCCCTCCCCCAGGATCAAGGCAAGCCTTGGGGGTCTCCACCAGCACACATATTGTAGTTTAAGGGTTTTACATTTGAGTCTAGGATCTACTTTCAGTTCATTTCTGTTTATGGTGCTTTTGTTCAGTTGGCTTCCCCCACCTCCATCTGAAAGACAGCTGAGCTCAGGCAGCTGCAGTCCGGGTCCCGCCCACATCTGCTCGCATGCATGCGAACACAGCTCCAGGCTTCAGGCACCTGGTTCTCCTGGTTGTGCTTCTGCCGATTCTGTTCTATCCTCTTCTCCAGCTCCAGCTCTTGTGTTATCAGAACACTCTGGTGCCCCTCCCACAGCCTCACAGCCTCCTGGAAGTACCTGAAGACGTCCGAGCTCTGCAATTCTGTCTCCCTGGCCAAAGCCTCAAAGGCGCTCTGCCATGGTAGAAAACAGAAGGTTACCTGGAGGACAGACTAACCCAAGCCCCAAGGATGGCCTGTCCACAGAGGCCTGTGTCTCCAAGCTACTGCCTGGGCACCATCCCTCAATGTCTGCTTTAGGCTCTGTGTTGGTTAGTTTTGTGTCACCTTGGCATAAGCTGGGAAATGAGACTCTTAACTAAGATAATTGCCTCCATAAGATTGGTCCATAGGTAAGTATGTTGAGCATTTTCCTGGTTGATGATTGATGTGGGCAGACCCAACCCACCACAGATGGTGCTGTCTACATCTGGGCATGTGGTCCTGCATTGTATAAGAAAGTAGACTGAACCGACCATCAGAAGCAAGCCAGTGAGCAGTGCTCCTCCATGGTTTCTGCTTCAGCTCCTGCCTCCAGGTTCCTGCCTTCGGTTCCTGTCCTGAATTTTTTCAGTGATGGACTGCAATGTGGAAGAGTAAACAAACCAGACCCATTGCTGCTCGAGTTGATTTGATCGTGGTGTCTTAGCTGACACTCCTAACTAAGACAGGCTCCATCTGGGTTCCTGGTCTTCCCTGCATGGGGTGGTAGGACCTGGGCATCTTTCTCTAGAACACTGTCTCTTAGCATCTGGATATGATTCCATACCTGCTGGTAAAAATCTCACATACAAATTTACCTTTTAAAAACTACATGCCAGGGCCTGGGAAAGTAGCTCAATGGCTAAGAGCATGTGTTGCTTTCAGAAGACTTGGGTTAAGTCCCCAGCACACATATGGTGACTCACAACCATTCCTAACTCCAGTTCTCTGATGCCTTCTTCTGGCCTCCTCAGGCACTGGGCATACACATGGTGCGTATATGTACATGCAAGGAAACCATATACATAAAATAAATGTAAAATTTTTTTGAAAAGAATTCTACATGATAGGACTAGAGATAGTTGGTTGGCAGAGGGCTTTCTTAGCATGTGCGAGGAGCTGAGTTTGGTGGCCAACACCACACATATGAAAAATAAAACTACACAGGTTGTACACATTCGTCTGGGACAGAGACTGGTAGACTAGACTGTGGGATAAATTTGGCCCTCCTTCTGTTTTTGTTTGGACTCATGAGCTAGTTACAGATTCTTCAATTTTTAAATGTTTTTTTAAACAAATCAAAAGTAGTGAAAAGCCGGGCAGTGGTGGTGCACGCCTTTAATCCCAGCACTTGGGAGGCAGAGGCAGGTGGATTTCTGAGTTCGAAGCTAGCCTGGTCTACAGAGTGAGTTCCAGGACATCCAGGGCTACACAGAGAAACCCTGTCTCAAAAAACCAAAAAGTAGTGAAAAAAATAAACGAAGCGCAGACCATGGCCTCTAGTAATAGCAGTCACGCCCTTTGCTTTCCATGGTGCTGATAGAAGTGACAGGCTGTGACAGACACCTGTGGCCTGCAAGACCTCACACAATACTTGGCCCTTCACAGAATGTGCTGACTCTGGATCAAGACTACAGACTTCTTGGGACTGGACACTCTTGCCCTCTCTGGTCTTCAACACTGGGTCAACAGTGGTTCTGACACACCCATGGCCTACGTGGCTTGCCCAAACCTAAGTAGCCCAGATGTCAGGGTGGTTTCCAGGACCCAGGTGATGAGCCTGGTATGGTTAGCACAGGAGGCCTATGCAGGAAGGGACTGGTAAGGAACAGGCAGTGGCTACACCAGGGGCACCCTAGACTTGTAGGATTTGCAGTGTAGTACTCCAGAGATGTGTCCACCTCCAGGGTCCCCAGCACCTCTGTACATACATCCAGGAGCTCCAGCTGCTTTTCCACCTTGCTCTGGAATTCCCCCACCATCAGGAAGAAAGTCGGGTTTACTAGGCTCTCTGCCTCTGCTTCAGAGAAAGCTTTCCAGTCCAGCAGCTGCTGCTACAGGGTGGAAAGAGAACAAGGCAGAGGCTGGCACGGGGCTCTGAAACATGCCGCTATCAACGAGCTGCTTCAGGGCCCCAAGAGGACTACAGCTGGCTGGTAGATTCCCTTGGGTCTGTTTCTGGTTGGGGCGGGGTGCAGAGCAGAGCTGGCCAGAGGTACCCAGAGAACAGGGGACACTCCCTGCAGGTGGTAAGTGGACCATTGGAGCTCAGAACGTTTCAAAATGCCTAGGATTTTGTAGACTGTTCATCTGGACACTTTTACCAAGGAGGCAGGGAGGGGTTGTTTTGACAAACTATTTCCCCAATTCCAGAAAATCCATCACTGTCCTGGATGGGATGGGAATAAACTCGCTGCTTTACCCTGCCCAGGGGCAGGCAGGCCAGCGACCATGGTGGGACTCGAGCCAGGATCAGCATGATCTAGGAGAGGGGCCTTGTGGTATCCCCTTAGAATATGGCCTCCATCTTTGGCAAGGCCCAGTGCTGTGAAGAATACGGCCAAGAGAAATGACTTATGAATATACAGCTCCATTTCACATCGGGGCTTTGATGCTGGGCTAAGCCCTGTAGACTGCAGGATCAGCCAGGCAGAGGGAACCAGAATGCCCAATGGCCAGAGGTTACCTGGTGACTGATGGGAAGGAAGAAAAGCCTAGATCAAGACTGAAGGGGATGGAGGAGGCAGAGAAGGTCCCAGCACACAGGAAAGCCTACCTTGCATTCCTGCACACGGGACAGGCACTGCTGCCAAATCTTCTCATACAGGAAGTGTACCAGCGACATGCAGTCCATATGGTAGGTGTCTCCAGGGACAGAACATAAAATGGGTCAAATGAGTCAGGCACTCTCCCAAGAGTACGAGAAAAAATAGAAGGAGAGGTGCTCCTGTCAGAAAGGGAGTCAGCTCTGCTCAGCAAGGAACCTCTGCAGTGCAGGTTGTTCAGCTCAGCTTGGTCAGAGCCCTCTATTCAGGTCAGGGGCTGGTATCTCCCTCCTCAGAGAGTTCCTAGCACCCCAAGAGAATGACCTCATATGAAGAGTTCATCTCTAGCAGAAGGGACTTCTGGGACACAAAGACAATGGTGCATTTGAGAGTTTTTAATCTGAAATGGACAGACACCATGAGCTCCGCTTTTGAGCACGTGTTTGCCGGCTACAGCTAGGTGGCGATATTTGAGAGGCTTTGAAACCTTTAGGAGCTGAAACCTAGCTGGCACAAGTGGTTCATTAGGGGTGGGCCTTTAAAGACCACAGCTCTGCCCATGGTTCAAATACCCAGTCTGCTCCCTGGTCCACTGTGATGTGCAGAGTCTCTACCACAGGTGCCCACCATCTTGCACGTAGCTATGACTTTGGCATCCTCTAAAATCATGAGCCAGAGCAGATCTCTGTTCTCTCTTCAGTTGCTCATCAAGTATTGTGTCACAGTGACACACTGCCACTGACTGGCCTCACTGGGTTGTGGTGAGCCTCAAAGATGGAAAATTGATCACATCCTCAAAAGTACAGCTTGGCACACTTTGTCCACAAAGTGATAGACTCGCTGTGCCTAGCTTTGTGATCACACGGTCTCTGCTGCGGTGAGCAAGCAGCCTGAGAGTGCAAGAAGGCAAACAAGTGTGACCATGCCCTGCAGTTTATTTCCAAACCAGGCAGCTGGGCTATGGCTGTGACCTGACTCTCTTAATGTACGATAGTGCAAATAGTTATGATTGAGCCTTCTTGCTGTGAGCTAGGGACTGAACTATGAATAGTCATTAATCCGCAAGGCAGGGGTCATGGTTAGTCCTGTTGACACCTCTGCTGCACAGGGGAAGACACTGAGGCATCAGGACAAAGCAGGGTTGGGTCCAACTGTAAGACTCTCAGGGCATGGCCACTGTGCCATCTTGAGACTTGAGCAAAGACTCTCTGTCTTTATCCCCAGGTTTGGGTCAGGGGGGTCAGATGTCGGGTGTCAGGGGTCGGGATTTGAGGCTAGCATGGCTGTGAACTGGGCAGTGAGCAGAGGAGGTTTTGGGGGTTCCCATATCCTAAAGTCCCAGGGTAGAGGGGCCTCAGCGCCTCAGACACATGGCTGGAGGGCTGACTATAACAAGCTACTAATTGGTCTGAAAAGTTCTGAAGAGCCCACAGACATTGCTCACCAAGCTGCTTGTTCAGGGAAGTGAGAGAATCGTACCACTCAGTCAGCTGGGTTTTGTTATAATTAGGGGGGAGGAGGTCACTGGGGAAAGAAGAGATGACAGGTAAGCCTTGTGTGCCTGAAGCCTGACAAAATGGTTAGCATATTGAGCATACTGTCAATAATAAAGTGAAGAGGCTAAGGAACCTGTTGGGGTCTCCTGCTCCCCCAAACAAGCCTCACAAAAAGGCCTTTATTATCCACAATGTCTCTGAATGAAGCCTCCTCTGTGACAACAGCTTCCCAGTGTTGTGTCCCCCTACCTGCCTTTAAAGTACCTCGGGATGAGGGCCAAAGCTCTGTTGGGACCATGTTTTATCAGACCTCTCCTCCCTCCTCCCTTCCTCCTCCCTCCTCCTTCCTCCTTCACCTCTTCTCCCTCCTCCTCTCTCCTCTATACTCCCTCTACCCTGGCCACTGTGTCTTAGTGAACTCTTTGACAGGACCAATCTAAACTTCTTTCCACAGCAAGTGACCTATGACCTTTCTTGCCATAGGGCTGGGGTAGTCAAGCCCAGCACAGCTCTCTAGCACCAAGAGATAGCCTGGAGCAGAAGGGTTTCAGGGGGAAGATCTAGGTCACATGGCTTCCCTGCTAGACCCCCAAAGGTGCTGGGCCCAGTGGTCCTCCCTCCTGCACACCATACCAGATGGTGCAGAGATGATCAAGCCTCACTCTTTGAAGGACCTCCTGGTTCTTCTGCATTTCTTCTAGCTCCTTCTTCACTTCTGGGGGCTCCTGGATCTCCTCGCTAGCCATGAACTCACTGGATAGCCAGACACAGAGGGGAGAAGTGGGTGGGAGACTCAGGCAAGAACACTCTGAACCCCATAACCCTGACCTATCACCCCAGGCTGTAGTGATTCCACCTGGGCCTCCCTCTGGGTTACTGAGGATAGAAGGGAGGTGAAGGGAGGAAGACAGGCAGGAAGAACTGCAAACCATCTCTCAGCACAGAAGCTACAGACACCGTGGAGTCCTGATCTCCTACTCTGTGACCTGGAACAAGTCCCACTTCCACTCTGAGCCTTAGACTATAATGTAGGGCTAATAGCAGCATCATCCTCATTGGGAACTTGCAAGGACTCAGAAAGATGACAGACAAAGCCCTGAGCCTGTGCCCTGCATCACGGGGAGTGCCCAGGAAGTCAGTTGTGGCCATTCGCTATTGACCTTTGTAACAGTCCCAATCCTGGGCCCAGACAGGCTCTGTTTATAGCGTCTCACTAAGTCATCACTGAGAACCCAGGGCTGGTAGGGAGCCTGTCATGTGGAGGAGGCAGGCTTGGAATACTTGGGGACTCCACAAACACACGGAAGGGCAAGGCTGAGCCTCAGCACACAGTGCAGAGATGGGTCCTCTCCTCCCCGTTTCTCCTATAGAGGAAAGGTGCTCCTGAAAGGAGGGAGGTATCACCTGAGAGATATCCGTCCTTCCAGGTCAGGATTATAACTAATACAAAAGCATGGAAATTATGCAGATAGTGGCATGACCATTTTCTGATAATTCATAGTGAGCTCAAAGAATAGTCGTGAGGTAACGTTTGTGCGGGGGGTAATCTAAAATGGCGTGGACGCTGTGGGTCTGAAATGCTGCAGTCCTTGCTGTACCCCTCCTAGGAAGCGTCAGTGGTGACTCAGTTTCTTTTTGATGCTTTTTATCTATTTCTAACTTTAAATATAGGGGCAGAGAAAACAGTAGCATTTGTAAACGATGAAGAGCAGCCTGGCAGTTAGGAGAGAGCTGTAGGTGAAGTGGGGGGGGGGGGATGAGGGCGGGGAGGGCGGTCACCACTGACCTGAAGCTCTGTATCAGGGCCTCCTTCTTGAGAGCCTTCCAGGTATCCACCAGCCCCTGCCAGCGGTGGCGGTTGTCAAGCTCCTGCTGTAGGGTGGCCTCGGTCAGGTTGACCAACAGCTGGGCAATGGCCCTCCGGTTGCCTAGGAGAGCCTGGTTCATGGCCTGTGGTCAGGGGTGGGTAGGGTTTAAGTTCTCTGGTCAGAGTAAGACTCAATAAGAGGGACCAGGGGAGAAGTCAGGAGAGGGGGTAGCTTAATCGTGTTCCTGAGAGCAGGAACCCCAATCCAGATATGTCGCTGCCCTGGGTTACTGCTTAAAAACAGGAGTGGGTAGCACTCCAGTGACTGTTTGCTACCCTTATATAAGTTTGTTCTAAAAGCTGAGGGCCCTGTCATCGGGGCCCAGTCACATGGGCTAGCTTTGAGATACAGATCCAAGGATGTGTCCTATCCAGATCCAAACCTGGTCCTTCCGGGATCGCTCAACTGCATGCCCCGGCACAGGACAGGAACGGTCCCCATCACATACCATGGTTCTGCCCTTTATTACCCTGCCACCAATACAAGAGCAGCCTCCCCCCTCATCACTCAGGCCACGGGGAAGGAATCCCAGCGTGGCTTTCCAGAAGGGCCTGAGGCTTCACAGCAAGCCCTGTGCTGCTGGGGCCTAAGCAAGTATTTCTTCACCCTGCAGGTCCATAGCAGTGCTTTGAGGACAGGGTCACAGGAGAGCAGTTTTGAAATAGGATGAGATTAATGCACACAACGTGCGTAGCACGTGCCAGGTAGCAACAGAGATCAGCACTGGGTCACAATCCAGACTGGAGGGTCTCCAGAGACACACAAAGCTTAAACTTCAGAAGGACAAGTATTTCATAGTCTCCGTCATATGTGACACTGCCAATGTTTATATGTGGCTAATGTACACGTGTGAGTGTAGGTATAAATTATTAAACTACAGAGGAGGCCATGAGAAGAGGAAAAGAGACGTCAGGGAAGGGGAGGGGTAACGGAACATGTGACAAGAAAGCAGACTGGAGGTGGGGAGGGTGTAGGGAGGGATCCACAAAACAAATCATGTTTGGAAAATGCCATAGTGAAGCATATTTTGTATGCTAATATAAAATAGAAAATTTAGGGACCGGAGAGTTGGCTCAGTGGTTAAAAGTGTCTAAGGCCCCTCCATGGGACTCGGTTTGGTTCCCAGCCACCCATATTGGATAGCTCACAACCACCTATAACTCCAGCTTTGGGGGATCTGGTGCCCTGTTTTGGTCTCTACAAGTATTTACATACATGTGGTGCATACACACAGAGAGACGTACACATACACACACAGAGACATGTGCACATATACACATACATTTAAAAATAACTCCTTAAGAATAAAATTTTAACATAAGGACAATTGTTACTGTCAAGACCTCCGCTGTCATCCTGGCAGGGAACACTGCTGTCCCCAGTTGAAGACCTAGAGCATGCTCAGCTCTGCACAAGTACCACTGCACGACAAACCTGTGAGCAGCCCAAGCAAGTGCCCCCTCACAGCAGGAGGGTCAGGCTTTCTTCTGGAGACATCATGAACAACCTTGACTTTCTCACTTCCCCACACAGACAGTGGTGTGGGGAGACTGGGAATAGAGATCCAACAGGTAGGTGTGGTGCAGCCACAGATACCCCTGGCCAGCTGGAGAGTCAGGAAGAAAGAGAAAACCAGAGTAGGCTAGGACTGCCGAGCTAGGAGAGACGGTGAAAGCCCTAAGATGACAACCTCAGAGTGTAGCACTCATAGCACCACAGAGTAGATGGGACATGGCTACTGTGCGTGATTAAGCTACCTGGGCACACAGCTATAGACATCAGGAAACCATAAACGCAGTCCACATGACTGCTATTGAAAATGCAGTTACAAAGGTTTGGTTCCCAACCAAAAATCCTGCCTGAGTTACTAAGGTACATCACAGATGTGGTGTCCTGCCTTCCTGAGGCACCAGGCTCAGGATCCCCTGGGTCATGCTCCCCCTACCACAGAACACCACTCACCATGGCTTCTTTATCTATCAGCCTATATATGTCGGGCTGCAGGATATAGGAGGTTTTCTCTATGATGCCGACATATCTCTTCAGCACTTCCTTTAGCTGGGGAGGAGAAGGCTGTGAGTCACTCTCAGCTCCTAGGCCATGAGCGGAAAAAGAAGGATGCCCGCAAACCCTTTTAGAGAAAGCTACCATGGAGCTCATTTGCAGCCAACTTGCCTTGTCAGCTCGAGAGACTTCCAGTGCCAGCAGCTCCTCATCCAGTTCCTTAATCTCCTGCTTCTGCTGCATGAATCTTTGAGCCACCTTTTCCCACAGTTCCAACAGGGTCTGCAAAGGGGAACTGGATCAGGCCAGGCGTTCCTGGAGAGATAGGGGGAGCAGGCATAATCACCGGGGAGTTCCTACTTCAATAGTGTAGCTATCGAGGTCCGGTTCCATTTCAACTTTCTTGAAGAGCTTGTCAACATCCTCATCAGACTTTGATATCTTTTTCAAAAGAAGATCCCCTTTCTCCAGGATGAGAGGTTCCATCTCCTGTGGCCAGCCAGGAGGATAAGGGTTAGGGCAGCAACACCGCAGATAGGAGGCAGCCCTCCCTAAAGGAGGAGGTGCCAGGCCCCATCCTATCTCAAGAAAGATCATTATCTAAGCCAGGGGAGCTGAAAATTGACCTTGGGCTCACACCCAGAGAGAACCAGGACACCTTGCAGCATGCCAGGCACAGTGCCCGGGTGATGCCTGATACTACTTGAGTCTCCCCTCTGCAGCTCAAAGAGTACCTGCCATTGAGTCCAGACTGTCAGGTCCCAAAGAAATTCAGAGCAAATGGCTGAGGTGTCTATCTACATACCAAAGTGTCCACTTGGCTTCAAGACTCATTCAGTACCCATGGCTCCACACAACACTTCTTACCACACCCCCTATCCTAAACTTCCCTCCTCTCTCCTTCTCTCCCCTCCCCTCCTCTCTCCTTCCCTCTTCTCCTCTTCCCTCTCCTCTCCTCACCCCTCTCTCTTCTTTCTTTCCCTCACCTCCCCTGTTCTCTCCTCCTCTATCTTCTCCTTCATTTTCCTCCCTTCCCCTCCCTTTCTCTTCCCTCCCTCCCCTTCCCTTGGCTTCTCTTTCTTATATAAACCTGCAGTTTTAGCTGCATGCTCTCTTGGTCCTCTTTTCTTGGTTCTCCTGTTTCCTGCTCTTGGCTCTTGGTCCTCTCTCCTCCTCGCTCTCCCTCCCACCTCTCCTCTCATAGCCCTGTCCAGTGTGGACCCCTCCAGATGTCTCTGGCTGTGCTCTCCCTCATACCTACAGTAAAAACCTTCTCCCCAACCGTACAGAGGAGTGATCATGCCCTCATCTCACTCATAGCCCATGATTGGTGTTCAACAAACAGCAACTAAAGGAGTAGATGAGAGAAAGCCGAGTTTGCTATGGATACAAACGCCAAGCCTGCTGGAAGTGAGGAACAGTGACCGTGGGGTTGGCATCTAGTTGGGACATAAGGAGGACAGGCTGGAGTCTGCTCTTAGTGCCTTGGACACACAGCAAACACTTGGACTCAAGACAGAGAGTAAGAGAAGAGAGAAGGTGAAATGTGTAGGCTTGTGTATAACTTGGTCTCATTTAGGAACTTTCCAGGACCCTGTGTGGTTAGATGAACAGATGGTCTAGAGAGGAAGAAGAGCCAAGGGTGGGGAAGTATGCAAGAGTCTCTGGTGGTTTGAATGAGAAATGTCCCCCATGGTCTCAGGCATCGGAACTTGTGGTCCTTAGATACAGCTGCCCCTCCATCGGCAGGACAGGCAGTGAGTCAAAGGCTGGGCTTTGGAGCCAGACCCAAGTGAGGTTCTGACTTGATCCCTTTCAAACCTATCCTGGCAAGACTCTGGGCCTCTCTGCAAGGTGAGGTAGCAGCCTTTAACTTACAGGGATTTTCTGAGAATTATGGGAGCCTACACCCATGCTGTTCCTCTAACACGCCCTTGAACACGCCCCCTGTGAGTCTATCTGTCTATGTTTAGGTGAGACATTGAGAACACCAGGAGGAGAAGGGAGGCTGGGAGCAGTGAATGCACTCCTCCCCACCCAGGGGATGCTGCAAGAATGGAGGAGAGAGGAGAGAAGAGCAGGGTCTCACCACCCCAATCTGCTCCAACTCCTCTTGAAAGCTTGCCAGTGCGCTCAGGTACTTCCTCTTCTTGTATTCTTCTTGTGCTTGGAGGTCGCTCACTCTCTCAGGAACTGTGGGGCAAACCACAGAGCTGATGAGTCTGTAGGGAAAGCAGAGTGCTCCCAGAGAGCTCAGCATGGCAGAGAGCATCTTCACTCAGGCCTGAGTTCAGAAGCAGACCCCAAAGCCAGGCCAGCAGGGGCAGAAACTTGGGAATCCTGAGAAAAGATACAAATGAACCCACATGCTTTGAGGACCAAGGTTCTGACTCACAGGCAAGGGACTGAGGTCGGGATGGCTTAGCTTTTGCCTACATACTCACAGCCCTGGGTTCAACCCCCTGTACCACAGCTGAGTAAACAGACGACTACTGGGGCAAAATTCCCAACAGGCATATGTATAATGACAGTGTCTATGGTGTTCTTCAAAGCAATTTCAGCCAAGAGTGGGCAGTGCATGTCTGTCATCCTGGCACTAACAAGGCTAATGCAAAAACAGCTGGAGCTTGGGGCCAGCCTAGGCTTCTTAATAAACATTCATAAAAAAGAAAGAGAGAGAGAGAGAGAGAGAGAGAAATGGTCTATAGATTCAAATACACATATAGGTGCTTTTTTTTAATTCAAAGGACTCCCGATCTGATGAAATCATTATAAACAGAAGGTACTATAAGCTGAAAATATATTTAATTACACTAATCTACTGAGCTTCAAAGCTTAGTCCGGCCCATCTTAAATGTGCCCAGAATACACTTACATTTTTCTACAACTGAGCAAAAATCATACAACACAAAGCCTGTTTTGTGTCAAAATGTTGAGTATCTGAGCAGGAATCTGTATTGAACGTGGAAAGGGTAGTAATACTTTATGAGTATACTCTTGTGCCACTGTGAAGTTGAAATACTACCTACCATATTTAAAAAGCCATGTATTACCATAGAAAAGGCAGAACTAGTAATGAACACTTTGAATCTCAGTATTGGGGAGGCAGAGGCAAGTGATTGAGACCTCAAAGTGAGTTCGAGGCCAGCTTGGTCTACATAGGAAGTTCCAGGACAGCCAGGGCTACATAACAGAAACCCTGTCTCAAAAAGAAAACAACAACAAAAAAAAGGCAGCAGGAAACACACTTGAATCAGAGAGAGCCCATTTGTGAGATTATTGTTCAACACTAGAGTATGCCTTCCGAATGGCAACACCATCTTAAGTCTATTGCATCCAAAGATCAACTCAGGAGAGAGCCAGTACCTCGCCAGAGGATCCACCCACCTCCATCACCTTTGAGGTAGTTACCTAGCCCACTTGGCCAAATTTGTAAAAACCTAGAATTCTTCTTTATGTAAATGAAGCAGTCCCAACACCTCAGCTCCAGCCAATGAGATACACTCACCCCCACCCCCATCCACTTCCCAAGGTTTCTATAGCTCTGTTCACCCTGAATAAAAGAGCCATTTTCTTTGTCTAGGAGAGCTGTAACACTTCTCAGAGAACACCCCACACACACCCTCCACCCTGCCACCCCCACCCCCGCCTCACTCACAGCCAGACTGAAATCATGCTAACCTACCCACATGGACAAACTTCCTTCCTTTCCTTCTAGACTGGCTCAATGGTGTCAGAATACCTCAGGGGCAGAAGCATGTTAGGCCCATACACTCTGGTTTTCTGTTAAAGAACTAAGTCTCGGGTGGGGGTGGGGTGGGGTGTTGCTGAGCAGGTGTGAAGCTGAACCCTCAGCCCTGAGCCTGAGCCCCTCCCCACCCTCTGCTTTGCTCTGTGTCTATCTAGGATTCTGGAAGCTGGCTGCCACCCTGGGGCTCTCAGCAAGAGAAAGGCACTCCTGCTGACCAGCAGTCCAAGCCTTCCATAAGGACAAGAGCAAGAGCGCCCACATGGGGATAATTTTGAAGCTGGGAGGCAGTGAGGAGGAGCCGTGGCTCGGCAAGTGCAAGGGCCACAAATCACACAAGGTAGCCAGCTCCTTGGACCTTCCATCTTAGGAGTTGCCCAGTGTGCAGTAGCCATTGGCTGTCTCTCCTGGGGTTACACTCAAAAGGCATCCTCCAGGAAACTGAGCAGAGGACCCCAGTGAGGATGGCAAGAGCCTCTGGGGAGGAGCCATAGCAGACACTGCCATCTAGAGACTTTCCTGCCTGGAGCAGGCCTGCTCTTGGAACTGAAGGGCAAGAGGTTCACCTATGTTGTCCATGAGGCCCTGCACCTCTTGGCAAGCAATCATGTCCTCTGTCAGACGCTCCTTCTCCTTCCTGGCTTCTTCATTTTCTCTGAGGAAACAAGTAGAGAAGAGTAAGGCCTGCCCCCACACCCACCCAGGACACCACAGGCATTGGTCACTGCCCAAGCCTTCTTCCTATTCCAGAGCCTTGGAGGCAATGTCTCAGGCTTCCAATCAATGTTGCTATGTCCCCAAGCTTAGTTTCTAAGGGTATCTGGACAGAGAGTCTGGTCCCTGCTCCAGACACAAGCTATAAATTCCTTGGCTGGCCAATATAGGTTGGGGCTGGAACCATTTCCAAATGGAAACTAAGGGTCATAATGGGTGAACAGTCCAACAAAGAATAAAGTTCTCAGCATGCTCCCTTATTTGGTCCTTCAGCAGACCATCTGTAGTAGTTTGAATAAGAATGGCTGTCATAGGCTCATATATTTGAATGTTTGGTTCACTTTTTGGGAAGGTGTGGTGGTTGGAATAGGTATGGCTTCCATAGACTCATATGTTTGAATTCTTTGTCCATAGGGAGTTGCACTACTAGGAGGTGTGGCCTCATTGGAGGAAGTGTGTCATTGTGGGGTGGGCTTTGAGGTCTCAGATGCTCAAGCCTGGCCAGTGTGTCTCTCTCACTTCCTGCTGCCTGCCAATCAAGATGTTGAACTCTCAGCTCCTTCTCCTGCACCACGTCTGACTGCACACTGCCATGCTTCCCACCATGATGATAATGGACTAAATCTATGAAACTGTAAGCCCCTGGTTGAATACTTCCTTTTACAAGAGTTGCCTTGGTCATGATGTCTCTTCACAGAAATAAAACCCTAACTAAGACAGAAGAATTGGAGGTGTGACCTTGTTGGAAGAAGTTTATCACTGAGGGGTAAGTGCTGGGGTTTCAAAAGCCCATGCCGTTCCCAATTAGCTCTTCTCTCCCCCCTCTAGCATTCCCCCTCCCTTTCTCTGCCTTATGCTTATGGTTCTGATGTAAGCCCTTAGATTCGACTCCATGCCTGCCTGTGCCCACGACTCTAACTCTCTAAAATTGTAACCAAGACATCATCCGATGAGGCAGCTGGCGTAAGCCCATTTTCTATAAAGGAGATGTAAAGGAGCCATTGTCTCAAAAAGAGCCGGTTGCTCAGTGCCACTCCATGATGCTGAAGCCCATCGGGTTTGGACCTAGCTGGAGTGGACTGAGATCTCTCAGTAAGTGAACTCATGGAGAGACCTGGGAGGAAAGACTGTGGCATCAACTCTGGGATAAAGTCTACAGATATTCCGTCTATAAGGAAAGCTAAGAGAATCCCAGAGTGCCCAACAGTCCCCAGAGGTCCTAGGTAAGCAGTATTTGCCATCCATTCTCTTATGAGTCGTCACACTGTCCCACAGGTGGGAGAAGAAAACATGTCTGGACTGCAGCTTGACGGGGCCAGACAGCCATGCAGAACGGGGAGGCTGCCCCGTTTCAAATGCGAGGTGCATTGAGTACAGAATTCTACCTCTAACTCCTTCTTGTAGGTCTCGCCACCTTTCTGCATGGACTTGCCAAGGGGACTTCAGATGCTCAAATCAATCCAAAGTTCAAAGCTATGCCTGGCTCGCAAGCCTCTCCCAGCCTCTGCGCCAGCCCTTTCTCCATCTAGGTTCTGAATCTGTGGGTCACAACCCCTTTAGGGGGCAAAGGACCCTCTCACAGGGGTCACCTAAGACCATCGGAAAACACAGATATTTACATTGTGACTCAGAACAGTAGCAAAATTACCATTGTGAAGTAGCGACAAGCGTAATTTTCTGGTTGGGGGTCATCTCAGCATGAGGAACTGTGTTAAAGGGTCACAGCATTAGGAAGATTCAGAACCACTGAACTAGACCTACTGACCTCAGCCTTCCCCAGTGAGTCAAAAACGAGTAAAAGCTATATCCCCACCCTCCTCCCTTAGCATCCCATCTCAGCGGTGGCTCCTTTCCAGGAAGCTTTCCCAACCCTGTCCTCTGAGTGGTCTTCCCACCATTGAAGGGATGATGAGAATCCAAGCTCTGTGACAGTGGGACTCCTCTACCTAGACACTGGCCTTAGACACCCCATCAAAACTACTTAGGGAAGAGAGAAACATCTTTTCAAGCAGATGTGACTAGCTCCCTTTTTGGAGAAGGTACTTGAGATTCCTATCGAGCACACACCCTCCTGAGTCTTTGAAGACTGGGAACCTGCAATGAGGCTTGGTAGCAAGACTTACCTATAGAGAACTGGGTTTTCTGTGACCCAGTCGTTGGGGAGGCTACGCACCCACTTCCTCTGCCGAGGGGTCATAGTTTCCCCCTCAGGTAATGGCACCTTCTTCATCATGGGTGTCTTGACATTCTTTGAAGTCTCAGAATGCTCTGCAGCCCGCTTCCTGGTGGCTGCCAGAGACTGAACCAGCTGCACCTGAGTGCAGGAAAGATGGAGTATAGGTATTATGAAAGTTTCAGGTGCCCAAGCTCTTCTCAATGACTGTGCCTCTCCTATGAGGACATGGAGGCACATACCATCCAGAAGGCACCCTGTACTCTGACTCCATGTCCACCCACTGCAGAAGATCTCTTAACAGGGATGGGCTGTTTCAAGGAAGGTATGTGTAAAGAATTTTGCATGAAGATCATTTAGTGTACACAATTATTTTTGTAATCATAAGAAACTGATAATAAATGAAAAACAAAAACAGAAAAAAATAAAACAGAACCATTCAGTAATAGGAGACTAGTTAAGTAAAATTCTTTTGATGGAATGGTAGGTGCTTACTAAAGGCAGAAATTAACAAAAATTTCTTATGACAAGGAAACCAATAGTGTATCATTAAACATATCAATTAAGGGCTGGAAAGATGGCTCAGCGGTTAAGAGCACTGACTGCTCTTCCATCCTGAGTTCAATTCCCAGCAACCACATGGTGGCTCACAACCACCTGTAATGGAATCCGATGCCCTCTTCTGGTATATCTGAAGACTGTGACAGTGTACTCACATACATAAATAAATAAATAAATAAATAAATAAATATTTTAAAAAACATATCAATGAAAATAGAAATCACAGGGCTGAAGAGATGGCTCCAGGGTTAGGAGCACTTGCTGCTCTTCCAGAGGGCCAGAGCTCCATTTTCTGCACCCTCCCAGTGGCTCACAATTCCCTGCTGGCATTCCGAGAGCACCAGCCATGCACACATACACTCGGCCAAAACATTCAAACATACAAAATAAATATAAATCTTGTTTTAAAGCATAAAATAAAAATTATAGGCAGATGGCACTTTGGATACTGCTAGACCTGCTGTCCCTTCCAGTACATTTAACAAAGTCACCCTTTTGCTATATATATAAAAAAAAATTACGACCCAAATTAGAGTGTAGTTTCAAATTTGAAAATACATGGGGAAACAACAGAAGGTTGAGAATGATATCTTGCTTATATGTAAGAGCTGAATTGTGTGGGTAGTTTGAGTTCTCTGGTTTCTCTATACCTTTATTATCTTTAAAGGTTATATGGGCAGGATGATTTACGGCTCAAACGAGGGATAAAAACGCCACTTCAATAACAGGACACTAGATTTGAAGCCTCCTTGGTCTGCAAGGTACATTCAAGAAGGGATAGCAATCTTTACAATAGCCATGGCCAGTGAAGATTTGACACTGTAAGACAAGTCCTCTGTGGCAGCGGACACTGGTTACCAGTGAAGTGTGTGAATACCCCTGGCTATGGGCATGAATTCTGAGAGACTGCCAAGGAGAAAAGGGAGAGTCAAAATCCTAGTACAGAAAAAGACTTATCATCATCACCACCACCATCACCATCATCATCATCATCATCATCATCATCATCATCATTGGTTTTCTGACACAGGGTCTCTCTGGCTTGCTATGTAGACCAGGCTGGCCTCAAACACACAGAGATACACCTGACTCTGTCTCCCAAGTGCTGGGACTGAAGGTGTGTGCCACCATGCCAGGCCAGGACTCACTTTTTAAACAGAAAAAAAAATTGCTTTTATGCTCTACAAAAAGACTCGGGCACAGAATGGTTCATTCAGACTAATTCTGAATAATTTTGATTTTTTTTTTTACCAAAAATAAATTTTTAATTTTGAGACCAAATGTCCCAATGTTCTTCTATGGGTAAACTATAATATACCCAATAGCAATTATTTTTAAAAATCAAAGTTATGTCAAGGAGAGCTTTTTAAAAAATTGGGTCTTAATGGGGAAAAATCTGGGAGAAGATGGCGTGGGGACTGAGATCAGAATAATACTGTATGAAATATCTATCTTCAATAAAAAATAAAATAAATAAAATGAATCTTAGACGGGAAACTCTCAGAACAAAGAGAATTGGAAAGGATCAGGAAAGTTTGGCAGGATCTGAGGGAATGGGAACAGAGGCTCGCAGGGCGCCTACCTGGGCCTGGAAGATCTGCTGGTAAACTTTGCCGTTCTGTACTTGGGACACCTTCCCCACTGGCGACATCTTGGCTGCTGGCCCAGTTCCCCTTTGTTCTGGAAACACACTTGGGACTTGGTCTTAGTTTTCACTCAGAGGCTGGGACCTGCCTTGCAGGCTCTTGCTAGGACCTCCGGCCCAAAGACAGGACTAGATCCCACAGGACACCTTGTTTAAGGGGAAACTTAGATTTCAAACAAAATAAGGTGTGTGGGGGTGGGAGAGACCGAAAGAGAGAGTGTGGATTTTCACCAGCGCACAGGGCGTAAACCCCTCAGGCACTTTCTGGAAAAGGAAGGATTATTGTCTGTGCTCCAGGGAACGCTCTGAGGGTCAATCAGCCTAAGATGTCAGACTGGAACCCCAGCCACACCCTCCGGGAGAAGTAGGGGAGTGGTGCAAAGGGAAGGAGCAGGTTGATCCCGGCCTGGCTAATTAGAAGCCTACTGTTTGCGACACGCCCACCTTCCTATCTGCTCAATCAACCCCCTGTTCCCCAAGCCCAGCGATTTTGAGGTCCTGACCCAAGCCTGGCTCCCGCACCTGAGATTCGCCTAGAAGCCAGCAGCAACTGCATCAAAACGCTGCGGTCTCCTAGGCAACTCGAGGGGGCGGGGCAGCGCGAGGGGCGGGGCTGCCCGGCCACACTTCCTTCTCAGGGAACCCGGTCACTCAGTTACAGCAGAGGCCCACGTGGAGCAGTGAAACTCACCACTTCTTTTTAATGTTGGGTCCTTGGAGTGCCCTTAAAATGTTCCCCAAAGCTAGTAGATCAGAGAGCTTGTGCAGATCCTGACTGTTGTGATCAAGGAATTCAGTCTCTCAATGTTGCACTGGTTAAAATCAACCTGTGCAGGCAGGGAGCACAAGGTGGCCCTTGCCTGTAAGAATCTGAAAGACACTGAAAGAGATCAGATCTTTCCCAGTTCAAAGTAGGTTGGAAGGCTCAGAATTCAGGGCTTTAAGACCTGCCAGCCAGAACGAGAACCGCCTGCACTAGATCACTAAGAGCAGTGGTTTTCAACTCGTGGGTCAGATGCCCTTGACAAACCTTTATACTCAAAAATGTTTTCATTCTTATTCACAACAGTAGCAAGATTACAGTTATGAAGTAGTAACAAAAATAATGTTATGGTTGGGAGTCACCCCAGCATGAGGAACCGTATTAAAGGTTCATAGCATTAGAAAGGCTGAGAACCGCTGAGCTAGAGTTTCTTGTGTACTATGGGCCACTCTGCTCCTTTCCAGAGAAGTTAGTGGGGTCCGGGAACAGACCTGCTGGCACACCCTTCCCACAGGGACATGGGAGAGTGAGTGGTCTACAGCAGCTGGCTGCAGAATCAGAAACTCGAGTCCTGATGACTGAAAACACCATTCTCATTCTTTGACAGAGGCGAATGACAAACCAGTGAATACAAAACCCTTTTAGACTCATTCTTTGGTCCAAGATGAAGTAAAATAAAGACTGGATTCATTTTAGCTGAAAAGACTAGCAAGGGGATGAAAAACATGGTTCTTTATTTTTTGTTTGTTTAGTTTGTTTTTAAAAAATGAACATCAATAAAGTAGATCAATAAATGTTACAAATTATATAAAGGGACTTAAGGCAAAAGTCACATGTTCATCTCAACTGTAGAAAATGCTATTGGCAAAATCCAATATTCCTTCATGTGTTCTAAGTGTCTTCCTCAATTTCTTTCTTTGGTGTTTTAATGTTTTCATTACAGAAGTCTTGTTGTTGTTGTTGTTGTTTTGTTTTGTTTTGTTGGTTTTGTTTTTAAGTTTCTGGTTCTTTCACATTCCAAGGTACCTTTTCTAAAGACTATGAATGGAATCCCACCCACCTTATTTCTTAGTATGTTTGCCGTTGATATCCAGCATCTCTACTGATTATAATGTTAATTTTGTATCCTGACACTTGGCTGAAAGTATCTATCACTTCTAAGAGTTCCTGGTAGAATCTGAGGGGTTGCCCATGGTCCAGTGGCTGGCTCCATATCCAAGCCTATGGAATCAGCACTATAAGAATCTGGGCGCAGTTTGAACAGACAACACAAGGCCCACCCGGTTCCACAGGAAGAGGTTTATTTAGGGAGGGGAGCGGGAGAGAGGAGCAGGGGCAATGGCGGAGGAAGCGAAGAGAAGAGGAAGAGAGCGAGGTTGGGGCAGTCTCAATTATTTAAGTGGGTGATGACGTGTAACTTCCCAGGTGCAGGTGAGCGAGACAGGTGAATTCTGGGAGTGGTTGCCTCAGTACCGATGCAGGAGTCGCCAGGCCCCTGAATATGATGTCACTGGGTTCAGACTTATACTAACAAGCACTAACTGGGTTCATGGAATTATATTTTCTAAAATAAAATAAAAGGCACTGTGCTGATTAGTTTTTATTGCCAACTTGCTACAATTTGGAGTCTCCTGGGAAGAGGAAACATACACTGAAGGACCGCTCAAGTCAGACTGACCTGTGACTACGGGTGTAAGGCACACATTGGTGCTCCCAGCCCACTTCGGGCAGTGCCACCCCTGGGCAGGTGCTCCTGCCTGCGTGGTTTACAAAAGCAGGCTGAGCATGAGGCAAAGGAGCAAGCCAGTAAGCCATGTGCCTCCACAGACTCTGGTTTCACGTCTCCCTTTGGGTTCCTGACCTGTGTGAGTTCCTACCCTGGCTTCCCACAGTGATGGACTTTGACCTGGAAATGTAAACAGAAATAAACCCTTTCCTTCCTAAGTTGCTTTTGATCAGAATGTTTTATCACAGCAAACAGAATGGAAACAGAACAGACATGAGGGTAGGAGGGAGAGATGTGCTGGGGGAATATCTGGGAGAAAAAGGAAGAGGGAATTGGGGGGTGGGTGGGCAGGTAAGACACATATATGATCAAGACATATGATATACATATATGAAACTGTCAAAGATTAAGTTTAAAATATTTTAAAAGAAAAAAAAACCTTCCTCACTATGAAAAGATGTACTTATAGTCTGTTTCAGATGGAATTCTATTATTGGAAATATAGTCCATTTTATTTATATTTTCAATGCACATTAAGTATTTCCCAGTTCAATTTGGAGCTGTGTCCTTCTTGGCTCCAGGGACTCAACCTGGCTGGGAATACGGGAAAAAAAAAAAGATAGACAGCCCAACACATACAGACAGAAAGCCATGTGATGGGCTGAGCTCTCAGATGGAGAAAATACAGCACCCCAGAAGCTTGGTTTGTTTAATATATAGAGTTGAGCAGAGAGGCGGGACTGTTGCATGCAGACAAACAAGTATGCAGGGTTCTTGGTATGCATCTGAAACAAGGAGGCAGACTTAGCTAATCTCAGTAGGAGCAGCCTCTGTAGGGGAGCCATCTTCAGGCCATAAACATCTGGATGGAGACCGCTCTGGTGGACATTTTCTATTGTCCACCATTGGCTATCAACACTTATACTCAGCCCCCCAAGGAAGGTTTCACAATCCCTCTGAGTCTTGAGCTGTGGGGTCCTATGTCAACAACACGCATTTACCGGGGACGTCACCCACTCTTCCATCATTCTCTACAATTCGGGAATGTATTCAAATCCCTGCTCTAACCATTCTTCTGTATGGTGATCATGCTGTGTCAGAGAGCGTGAGTGTGTAAATCTTAGAAGATACTACCAAAGGTTCCGAAAGTGGTAACAGTGTACCCTAGTGTTCTATATCTTCACCAACACTTAGTAGTGTCACCAGACTTTATCTTAGACAGTATGTTGTGGTATAGTATCATGGTTTTATTTTCATTTTCCTGATGAATAATACGGATGTAGACAGACAGACACACAGGTATGTACATACACATGCATCCATACCCACAACAAGGTACATGCTTACACACACACACACACTTGGATCTTTCTATGACATGAGAGCTGTATTAGCTCCTTGTTACTGCAACAAAATACCCAAGATAGTGAATGTATGGAGAGAAAAAAATTTATTTGAGCTCATGGTTTTGGAAGTCACAGTCTACGAAGAAATGTCCCATTGATTTTGGCTTCTAATGAGGCATCATGTCATGTGTGATAGGAATGTCTAGTAAACAAAAACGCTCATCCCGTCAGCTAAGAAACAAAACCACCAGAGCCCCATGATCTCCTCCAAGGACATGCCTCCAGTGACTTAAGGACCACTCCTAAAGGTCCCACCCCCTGCATGGTGCCATCCTAGGGACCAAAGTCTTAACAGGGAGTCTTTGGGAGACACTGTTTACACTCAAACCATAGAGACAACCAAAGTTGAATCTCTGCTTTTGAGAGTTTCGAGTGTCAGGCACAAGCTTACATGAATCTGTGTGCTTTGAATGATTTGATCCTCAGGATAATACATGGAGCGGGATGTTGGCCCCTTTTGCAGATATAGATATCGGTGAATAGAGAAAGACAAAGTTGTTTGGCCACAGAGCTAGAAAGCGACGTGTGTTGTGTATGGGGTGGGGAAGGGGCTCTTAATTTTCCTAGCTTCTCAAAACAAATTGTCAAAGAGCTGTCATAAAGACTCAGCTAAAAGTAACAACCCTGGCGCATGCACCAGCAGGACCAAGTTTACACAGCAACTGGGTGCGAGCTCTCAAGATTTTGGGTCTATATGACTCACAGCACTCGTTCGGGCTCAGGAGAGACTTTCAATGGCCAGAGCATATCTGTCCTGGGCCATTTGGGTAGTACTGAGCTCTGCATAAGGACAATGGCCACACCTCCCAGCCTGACACGTGTGTCTTATTAGCTTCACGGTCTTTCAGCATCTGTACCCAACATGAACAGCATCATCTAAATGCCTTGGGTCTCCTGCTCACACAGACTCAGTGTTCCTGCTCTCCACCTGGAATGCAGGCCTATTCCACTTCTGCTTGGCTTTCGTAGGTGATCCCACAGATAGACTCAGACTATCTTTACGAGGAAGGCCTGGATCATCTGATTCTATTCCCAGTAGGCCTTGAGGCAGAAAGTTCACTTCATACTTCTTTTTTAAAAGAATTGTTTTACAGATTCATGTTTTTAATTATTTTTACTTATGTGTATATGTGTCTGCCACATTTGTGCAAGTACCTGAAGAAGCCAGAAATGGGTCAGATCCATTGGAGCTAGAGTTACAGACACTTGCGAGCTGCCCAGTGTGGATGCTGGGAACCAAACTTGAATCCTCAGTCAAGTAAAATCTAGTGCAGTTAGCCCCTGAGCCCTCTCATTTATCCAGCCTCTATTTCATGCTTCCTAACAGGTGACCCCCATGGCGGCTTCCCACAAATAATGGAGGTCACTGATGGGCAAAATTTGCTTCACAGACATTGCTTTTCATATTGTTTTTCTTTTTTGCCAAGGGATTGAGATCATTCTAGATTTAAACCATTGGTCTATATGACCATCCCACAAGCGGTCAGTGCTGTCTATCATGTGCATGACATGTCATCCTGTCCCATTGTAGGGAATCGCTGCTAGTTAAGCTAGACCTTCATGAGAGGGGATGGCCTGGCCTGGGAGCAGAAGCTGGTGGCCCAATCAGCAGTCTGAGCAGGTCAGCAGAATCTGTGTGAACTCTCCTGAACTATGACCTGATTTTGATTTTCTAAGCATGACGAGCCTGGGATTGTTGATGAGCGTCTGCAGCAGGAACCATCTCGTTCTGGCTCTGGCTGAGAATCGGGGACCTAGGACAGAATTGGAGTAGAGAGATCAGGGAATGAGGGTGGGGTGTTGCCTCTGCTCTTCTCAAAGACTTTTGGAGCAGCTACCTACAATGCAAAGTTGTGGCAAGAGGCATTGGATCAAGACTCCTAGGTAACGGGAGGTAGAAGGATGTGACCTATCCCCAGACCTGTGGGTGCCCTTCAGGGGCAGGAGGAACCCAGAGCACTTCTTATAAGCAATAGGGGGGAAAAATCCCACAACTGATCTCCATTTGGAAATTGCATCTGTTGAGTAGCCTGAGGTGTGTAATGGCATCCCAAGACAACTGGATACAGATAACTGTGCCTGCACAACTGGGGTTCAGTTCCAGAATAGGTAGGTAAGCCAGTCTACAGGACAAGTCATGTAGCTTGAATGATGGGAACTATGCCTCCTGAGCAGCTTGGCTTAAAGGGAGGCAGAGCAAGGGCAGTGGGAAGGAGATCTGGTGCCTCTTGAGGATCCCTGGGAGTCCATGGGTATCCATTTTCCACTCTGAACCCAGCACAGGTCCAAACAGGAGACACTACCTGCTGACTGGTTCAGGTACCAGTATTTCACAGTCTTCTGTAGCTTCCCATCCTTGTGGCTTGTGATCAGAATGTGGCAAAAGCTGACCAACACAGGGTTGGTGTGGTAGTGGTCCACAAAGAGCATACCAATCCATGCACCGAAGCCTGAAACCCAGGTAAAAGCAGGTCGGCCGGGCTGAACCTCCCATCATTGCCCAGTTGGTACTTTTTACATTGCAATTGCTGTTCTTCTTTTTTAATTTTTGCTTTTGAGACAGTCTCCCTGTGTAGCCCTGACTGGCCTGGAGCTCACTGTGTAGAACAAGCCGCCATGAACTCACAGAGATAGATCTGCCTGCCTCTGTCTCTCCTATGCTGGCTAACTACTAGTCTCCCCCAACCCCCAACCCCACTCCCACCCAACTCCTTGGCCCTGGCGGTACAGAGAATCTACAGAGTGAGTGTAAAGATCTGGACGGATTCCTGGAGAGACCATTCTACTCTGTGCATTCGATAGAGAACTCAAAGCTTGAAGGTGGTGAGAGCAGCCAGGAGAAGAGAGAAGCTATCAGTGAAGCCATGCAAAGACAGAGCATGTGTCAGTGCAGATCTTAAACAGCTGAGGGAAGGCATGACCAGGCTTGAGGCTAGAAGCACTAATTTTACCTCCTCAGGAACAGATGGACAGCTTTGGCTTTATAGTATATTAAACTAGATATTTTCTTCACTAAATGTTCAAGCCACAATGCTGATACTTTGGAGCTGTGTTCTAGTCTCCAATCTACTTGGAAAATATGAACCACCCGTCCTACACTTCAGTGGCCTGTGGAATGGGAAGAGTTCAACAACCTTGAACCTTTGACCACACACCAGAATACACATTTCTTGTGTGTGTTCATAGGGGCTCACTGATTAAGCTAAGCTGGCTGTCTAGTCAGCCCTAAGGAACCTCCTGTCTCCACATCCCCAGTACTGGGATCACAATCAGAGCATACCACACATGGCTCTTACATAGGTTCTGGGGATCAACGCCAGGTCCTTGGGTTCACACAGCAAGTTCTTTCATGGCAGAGTCATCTCCCCAGCCCAGAACCAAGTGCCTGGATTTATGACTTCTGCCAGAAGTCAACTGTAAGCCCAAGTGAAGGTATGGACTCATAGCCATCTTTTCCAGGGGGGTTCCACAAAGGGATGAGGCCAGCTGTTCCCCCAAGGAGATGGCCAGGACTGCTACGCACCCATGTCTGCACCCTCATAGCCGCTCTGCATGATGGTCCTGTCGATGCGTGCAATCAGCCATGTGCCCAGGAGGCAGCTGATGAGCAGCCTGGAGAGGCAGGCACCCAGGCCCAGCAGCACATTGTAGAAGAACAGGAAGTAGTTGAAGTTGTGGAAGGCTCTCCTGCAGACAGAAGCAGGCAAGAGGTTGCTATCTGGCAAAACCAGCAACACAGCCAGCTCTGGCTTCATCCAGACAGGGCATTAAACTCTGAAACTTTCTCCTAAGCTTATGACCTCACACTTGGTGGCAGGTGGAGCTGAGTTCAGAACTGGAGGGATGTGTGGTCCTGGAAGGGGGTTGGGGAGCCCTAGGCATATCTTAGTGTGAGTATTTCTTGTTTCATACAGGCCTTTGGATTCTTGCATGAGGCTTCTCAAGTTCAAGAAAAACTCTGGGGCTACAGCTGGCTGAGGGGTTGCAACAATGCTGTGGTTAACCACCATCATTGTCATAAAGACCTACCCCAGCCAGAGCTGTCCCTAGTCTCTAAAGGACCAAAAGTCCCAAAGGGCCACCCGATGACATGGTCCTGATGCCTCAGGACCAAACCGCATCCTGAATGTCACAGACCCCTCTGATGGAGGACTGTTTGGCCTTGTCACTCCGTGTCCCTTGGTGCCCCATGCTGTGTAACACTTTATGGTGAACATTAGGGGCTCTTGCTGATCTCCCAACACGTGTAGCCTGTGTCTTACTACTGCCATCCATGCTGTGGGAGCTATCAACCATGCTAGTTCCTCCTCCCCACCCACTGCTCTGCTCCCCTCCTCCCTACCTCTCTCCCCCTCCCTGCCTCTGCTGTCTCTCCTCAGTCTCTCCTCCTCATCTTTAGATCACTCAGGAATTTTTGGCCTTTACCCATGTGCCAGTCCTCTACAGCAAGTTATAAAGCTCTTAGAGGTGGTGGGTAGGAATATTTGTCTCTCTGTTGTCAGTGCTATGGTTTCCTCAATGAATGAATGAATGAATGAATGAATGAATGACAAAGAATTGCAGGTACTTGGCTGGCTGTCCATATTTTGTTTCGTCTTGAAAACCACCTCTTGAAGGAATGCACACTAACGTACAAACGGGGAAGGTGAGGTTCACCGAGGTTACACAACCTCGTGTGGCTCTCCTACTACCTCAAAAGGCAATTCTGGTTCTCAGGGCCACATGGGTCATGTGGCCCCAGATCTCACCCCTGAGCACAGCTTTGTAGCCTCTCACAGAATTCAGATCACTCCAGATCCCGCCCACCATTAGGTAGAAAGTACAGAAGCCCTACATATTCCATCTCCCTCTTCCACCCTCACCTGTTGTTGAGAGCCAGGGGCTTCTGCTTGTCGGCCGTGCCCAGCTTGGGCTGCAGGAAGAATGTGCCAGCAATCCACACTTGTAGGATTATAAGGCCCACGGCTATGGATAGGGTGAGGCTGAAAAACAGGACATGTCCAACATGAGGTGTCTATTCTACTGTTCCAGGACCTTCTCATACACAGTAAGGAGGGAGAGAGAGAGAGAGAGA